TGTTCCCTTCTCTGGCTCAGGATGAGAGAGAACTGGTAGGCGGGGGGCTTGGGAAAGTGGCCACGCTAAAAATAGGAGCCCCCAGCTGCACCCCCTCACCCACGGCCCCTTATTTATCACCTTCCAAACCTCACTCTCAAAGAAGCATAAATATTCCTAATTCCTGAAGGCCAGCCCTGAAATCATAAATTTAACTGGGGAGGTGGGCAAGGGGAGGAGTGAGGTGTGGGGAAGGGGAGCCTACTGCAGCCTTGAGGAAGCCGAACATCTCCTGGGGGCGGTGTCTGACTTATCCCCAGGCTGACGCCTGTGGGTCTTCGTTGAAAGGAGGAGGAGTTGCGGCTCTCAATATTTCCTCTAGGAATTAGCCTTTTCTCACTCTCCGCCCCGAAATAAAAAACAAACTTAGTTCTGTCTTCTCGATTAGTTCTTCATTCTTCTCCATCCCTCTTTCCTTGCTTTTACCTACTAGTTCTTTCCTGCGCCCCTCTCTACGCCTTTGCTCCTCCAAGTCTCTCCCTTTTCAGAACCATTGTCTGAAGAGGAAATTTTCATCTCTTGTCCTGTCTGAATAGTGAGGTTTGAAAAGAAAAGTCCCCCTCAGTGCCCCCATCTCCCCGCTTCTGCCCATTAGCCCCCTCAAACGCGCCCTTTTCAGTCTTCTCCTCAGACTCTCCCTTTCTCTCCCTGGGCCTTCCTTTCTCCTCAAGTCTTTCTTTTCCTCTGTCTCTCACTTCGCCTCCTCAGTTTCCCCTTCAGCTCAGGATTCTCTCTTCCGTCTCCAATCTCCTTTTCTCTCCCTACTGTACCCCATCCTACCCCGCGGATTCCTCAGGTCCTATTTACCCCTTCAGACCCCCTCATCTGCTTCAGTTCCTACCACCACCACACCCCATTTTCCTCTCCCAATGGATGAAAGAGGAGGAGAAAGCTTGAGGAATAGGTATAGGGAATGCGGTTCCAGGAGGGGAGGGAGAGCAAGGAGAGAAAAAGCAGGGGAGAGGGAGGCGGAAGCGGTGCAGAGGGGAGGGGCGTCCTCACTCCCCAAGCGGCGCCCCCCTCTCCCCGCAGCCACTGAGCCATAAATCAGAGCTAAGGCGGTTTGGCCAATGGTAGAGTGACTCGTAAATCGGCCTGTCAAGATCAGCCAATGAGAGGCGGCGTTAAATCAAGTCCTGTCAGCGCTTGGCCAATGAAAGGCCCTGGGCTGACCATAAATCTGCCTGTAAGAGACAGAGAAAGAAAGAGAGTGTGCGGACGAGCGAGAGCTGCAGGGGCGGGGGGCAGGGGAGGAGGTGTGGGGAGAGCGGGCGGGGGCCGGCGCGCGAGAAAGAGCTTCGGAGAAAAAAAGGCGATAACGGAGGTACAGGCAATGAAGACAAGCCTAGAGGAGAGACGGACAGATGGAGAGAGACAAAGAGAAGCCTTGAGAGATAGCGTCAGAAAGTCAGCGATAGAGCTGGGGCTCCGGCGGGAGACTGACAGAGATAAAGAAAAAGGAGAGACCGACACTGACACTCTCAGGAGGGCCTCCGTGAAACAGTTCCCCAAGACAAATGCATACACTTCCCCGAGATACGCGTGAGCTCCGCACCACGAGGGACCTCGTGCGTGGACACACGCGCGCCGTGCACACACGCAAGAGAGAGAACGAGCCTGAGGCATAATCTTCCTTCTCTTTTCCCCTCACTCAGCGCCTATGGCGATTAGGGGTGGGGTATATGTGTGGGGGCCGAGGGTGAGAGAGGAGGGGGTTGCGTTCTCTCTATGATGTGTCCCTTTTGGTCTCAGACTCTAGGGCTTCCCGTGTCCTCTTGAGTCATTTTTTTTCCAGTGACTGAGGATTGGGAAGTCCCTCCTGAGGTCTAACTTCAATCCCTATTGCTGCTCATTTCTACTTGCCAAAGCTTTTGAATCGCCTTCAAAGAATATGAAAAGTGAAGCCTTTTACAACCCTTCAGAGAACTCTCAACTTTGAGAATCTTAGAAGGTCTGAGCAGGAAGGATTTTTAGGGGTCATCTGATCACTTGATTCTAGTTATAGAAAAGTTTCGGTCTTACTGTGGTTAGACATGTAGGCTGGTACTAAAGTCAGACTTTCAGGTCTCAGATCATGATCATATCACTTACTAACCCTTGGACTTTAGACAAATGGCTTGCCCTATTTGTGCATTATTTATTTATTTTTTAAACAAAAGATTATAATAGATATGCTCAGATGCTCAGTCGTGTCCAACTCTTTGCGACTCCCATGGACTCTAGCCCACCAGGCTCCTCTGTCCATGGGATACTTCCAGGCAAGAATACTGGAGTGGGGTGCCATTTCCTCCTCCAGGTGATCTTCCTGACCCAGGGATCGAACTCGAGTCTCTTACATCTCCTGCATTGGCAGGTGGATTCTTTACCACTGGCACCCCTTGGGAAGCTCATTATAATAGATCCCTTATGGTAAATTTTGTGAAGATTATGCAAAATAATATATTTACAGGATTTAGGACACTAAAAGGCATATGGCAAGAGTGCACCCCCACCTGCATCTTTGTACAAATGATAAAACCTGAAGTCCAAAATGATTCAGGTTCCTGCTCCGATTCACAGAACAAATTATCAGAGAGACTTGACTGGAGCCCTGTTATCTATACTCCCAGGTCAATGATCTTTATTGGTCTTGCTGTTCACCCCACCTATCTGGACCCCCAGCTCAGTCACCTGAACTTGATTCAGTACAGGCTGCTGTAATTTTTGTGGAAGGAAGATGCTCAAAAATACATGTTCCTTATTAGGAAACACGACTCTTGGGCCCTGGAGGTGTGTTGAACGTGAGGGTGTCAATTTGTCCACCCTGACTATGGTTCTTTCTGCTCTCATCTTCTTCTCTCTGGACTTTGTTCTCTCAAACCATGGACTTAGGGGCAGGGAAGGGATACATGCAGCCAGAGCAGTGTCACCATCAACATGACTCTCACATTCCATCCACAGTGCCCACACTTCTCCCCCTACCCCAGCTAGGTAGACAGTAAATATCTCATAATAATAAGTGTCTAATTCCTCACTTTTCTTCCTAAGCTTTGGGCAAAAAGGAGGGGTGGGGATTCCTGGCTCTCCGCCCTTGCTGGCCAGGAGTGTGGTGGTATCTCTGGACTCCCTGTCTTGTTGATATGTTCTGTCCTCACAGGGAAGCCAGAAAGGAAACACAGAGAACCAGCGTCACCTGGTGGCCACAGGTGCTTTGAATTCATGCATGTGCATGCACGTGCACACAGATGACAGGATATCGGTCACACTGGAGGAAGGGAGTGGTGTGACATCCGCTTAGCCTGGCCCCTGGGCCTTCTTAACTAGTCTTAACTTTTGTAACCCACGATGACAAGAGCAGGTCTGAGGGAAGAGGAGGGGCCAGGACCCAGGTGAATTAACTCCAAGCAGTGTGACCCTGCTAGGGCAGCTAGAATGCCTGCCTGCCACTGCCTTGGTTAAGCTCAGTTCCATTTCCACAGGGCGAGCAGTTCTCCCCATGGCCATTCTCTTTGGACAGGGTAAGGGTCAGGGGGCTGGACTCACTGGAGTGGTTATCAAAGCTGGATTTCAAAACTTTTTTGTGTTGAAAAAAAAAACCTGTTTGTTGTGATGGGGCATCCCGGAAGCAGTAGCTAGAGGTGGGGGCCATTTCTGGGAAGTTAAATCAGTTCAGTCACTCAGTCGTGTCTGACTCTTTGCGACTCCATGAACCACAGCACGCCAAGCCTCCCTGTCCATCACCAACTCCCGGAGTCCACCCAAACCCATGTCCATTGAGTCGGTGATGCCATCCAACCATCTCATCCTGTCGTCCCCTTCTCCTCCTGCCTTCAATCTTTCCCAACGTCAGGTCAGGGTCTTTTCTTTTCTTTTTTTTTTTCATCAGGGTCTTTTCAAATGAGTCAGCTCTTCGCATCAGGTGGCCAAAATATTGGAGTTTGAATTAAACAAAAAGGCAGGCTAATAGGGACTTCCCTGGTGGTCCAGTGGTTAAGAATCCACCTTGTAATGCAGGGGACACAAGGTCGATCCCTGTTCAGGGAGCTAAGATCCCACATGCTGCAGAGCAACTAAGTCAGCTCGCCAGAGCTAGAGAGTCGGTGCACCACAAGGAGAGATCCTTCATGCTGCAACTAAGATTGGTGGCAACCAAATAAATATTAAAAAAAAAAAAAAAGAATTGGTTTTCTGGCATCCGCTAAGGGTGCGACTGCATGTTCAGTCTCTTCAGTCGTGTCTGACTCTTTGCAACCCTATGGACTGTAGCCCACCAGGCTTCTCTGTCCATGGGATTCTCCAGGCAAGAATACTGCAGTGGGTTGCCATGCCCTCCTCCAGGGGATCTTCCTGACCTAGGGATTGAACTGGTGTGTCTTATGTCTCCTGCATTTGCAAGTGGGATCTTTACTGGGATCCCTGTTTGCTCAGGCAGTAAAGCATCTGCCCACAATCCGGGAGACCTGGGTTCGATCCCTGGGTTGGGAAGATCCCCTGGAGGAAGAAATGGAAACCCACTCCAGTACTCTTGCCTAGAAAATTCCATGGATGGAGGAGCCTGGTGGGCTACAGTCCATGGGGTCGCAAAGAGTCAGACACTACTGAGCAACTTCACTTTCTTTACTGCTAGTGCTACCTGGGAAGCTAATGGTAATTGATTTTTTTTTTTAAAAAGAGGCAGGCTAATCCTCTTAAACCAATTCACATGATTTATACCTGGAAACCCCTCAGCTGAAGGCTGTCCCAGGTCTTCTCCTTCCTGCCCCTGCTCTGACTTATGTCCCCCCAAACCCTCAACTATTAGGTTCCAGCTGCAAACCAACCTTGGTCTATTTTCTTCTTCCCCACAGATCACACCTGAATATGAAGAGGATAGAATTCATTTATTAATAATTAATAATGCATCTTGAGCAGCCTAGGGCTGAAATGTTGAGTGAAGGGTGGAGAGGCCTGGTTGGGAGTTTGGGGGGTGCTTGTCCATGAAAGTTCCCACAGGTCTCACTTTCACCTATTCCTATAACAGCTGGTCACCTTAGTTCTGGAAGAGACAATCCCAGATTCTGGTGAATGGGGACACAGTTCTAATGGAACCTACGGAAACTCCGGGGCCCTCGTTTCAGGAGGGAGCCATAGGCTTGGCGGAACTGGCGGTTCATGGCTGCGTACAGCACAGGGTTGATGCAGCCATTAAGCCAGGTGAGGTTGGCAGCCAGCATGTGGACAACTCGGGGAGCCTGGACCTTGGCATCCAGGATGTTGAGTAGCAAGAAAGGGATGTAGCTCAGGGTGAAGCAGAGGAACACAGCAAAACACATCCGGGTCACCTTCCCAAACTCTGATGGAGAGTCCTGAGTTCTCTGGGCTCCTTTAGTCTTCCTGGCCTTGGCAGCCACTTCTGGAGGGTTTTTCTCTGCCATCTGCTTAGCTGCCTTACTGTTGCTCTGGTCCCTGACTTCTGATGAGTCTCCTTCCAGGGTCTGGGTGGTGGCAGCACTGACTGGCTCAGATGAAATCCCCTCGCTGGGTCCTCCGGATGCCAGCCCACTGTCTAGCTCCTGGAAACGACCAGGCACGGACTTATCTGCCCCCGCCACATGGTTGGAGCGGATACTTGCCTGGCGCAGCTTGTACTGATCCAGTGCCTGTGCTGCTTGCTTCACCTGCCGGTGGATGAGGCAATAGAAGACGCCGACACTGCTGAGCCCAACCACAAAATAGATGCCCAGGAGGACAGTGGTGTAGGGCTGGCCTCGGATGCGGTCAAAGCTGCAGGTGCAGACTACGGGCACCAAGATATAGATCGGCCAGAGGGGAGCGAAGCTGGCCACAGCCACCACCCAGGTGCTCACCAGTGCCAGCACTATGCCCTTGGCACTGAAAACTTGGGGAAAGAGCTTAGGGTGGGCAATGAGGAGATAGCGTCCCAGGGCAATGAGGCAGAGGGTGAGGATGGAGACAGAGTTGGATACGAAAAGGAGGAACCCAAAGACCCGGCAGAAGGTGGCACCGGTGCGCCAGTGGAGGTGGAGGTAGGTGTCCACCGAGAAGGGCTGGAGAAGGGTGCAGTAGAGCAGATCAGCCACTGTGAGGTTGGCGATGAGCAGGTTGAAGCGGGTGCGGAGCTTGGGCTCGATGGCCAAGGCCAGCAGGGTGAGCACGTTACCCACGGTGCCCGTCACGGCCACCACAATTCCCCAGCTAACTGCCACGTAACGATAGCCCAGCACAGACTCATGGTAGCAGGAGAAGTTGACGTCAGAAGTGTTCCACATGATGGAAGCTGAAAGGGGTGGGGAGAAGAGGGAGTCAGAACCTGACCTTGAACTCAGATCTCTGGGCTTCTGGGCACCTGAACTGTTACAGGAGCTCCAGAGCCATTCCCAAGCCTTTTCATCCCAAGATCCCCAATCTCCTCTTTCCCATTCTCAAAGATTTTCCCAAATGTTTATCTATTTTACCTATGAAGTTTCTGTCTACTCCAATCTCCAGGCCTTTTCAATATCCACCCAGATACTCTCCCCTGTCCTTTAAGACCACCCAGGAGTCCCCTCTCCTCTTTTATTCAGAATAGTCCTTTCTGTCTTGTAGTCCCTTCTGCCACACACACATAACAGGCCCCAGTTTTTTATTGTTTGTTTGTTTTTACCACCTGGGAGATGAGGAGACAGAGAATGTAAAAGTATATCCACCACAAAAGTACTCACCTGAGTCTCCCAGCCTTCAAATCTCTCTTCAGTGGAAGAAGTTCAACTCACTCAAAGCACAGTCTTTTCTGGTGGGCAGTTAGGCTTCAAACAGGAGGTACTCTGCTCCTATTATACTGACCTGAAAGAACAAGAAACTCCCCAGTTACCCAACCTCAGCCACTTCCTCCCTTGCCTCCGGTCCTACTCATTTGGCTTTAACTAGTGAAATATGGGGCTTCTTTGTTGAAATTTCCTTACTGCTTACCGCACTGGACACCACAAATGATGTAGCCAGTCCTGGCTAGGACAGTGGTTGTGGGAATTGACAACAATGATCAGGATCCATAGGTTATTGAGAGGCAGGATTTATTTAATGACTCATAGGAAAAAGGGTTAGAAGGAGGGAAGACTAGGAGGATGCCCACTTTTCCAGGTGGGAGTGGTTCTCTTAATCAATGAGATAGGGAATGTGGGAAGCATAGCAGGCTTAGGAAGGGGGTAAATAATGAATTCAGTTTTATATCAGATTTGAGGTACCTGCAGGATATGCTAATATCTTAGCTCCTCTAACCCAAATTTCTTCCAGCCCCCCTCTCTCCACATGTGATCCAGCCCTACTTTTCTCCACCCACTTTCCTATCTGGCCACTTCTGCCCCTCAGATTTCTAGATCTCTAGGCTCTTTTTTGAGCTAGATCAACCCGAAAACAAAACAAACACACATACACACAAAACCCCTCAAATTCCTTGTTGGGTTCTATTTCTGAACCTATAGCAAATTCCCACCCCCAAATTTGTAACTAACTCAGGAGGCCTGATTTCCCTCATCTTCCTCTTTAACAGTCCTCATCCCACCTTCCCTCCCCCTTTCTTCCGGAAGACTGGGAAGTGGGTAGAGAGGTGGAAGTGAGCAAAGAAGATGCAACTCAGGATGAGCCCACGTCAAGGCTGGATTCTGGTCTGGCCTTTTTTTGTTGACCTTCTTGCTGCCTTGCCGGGCTAAAGGGAGGGGGGTCACAGAATCAGTGGCTGCTCTTGGGAGTGTGTGGTTGAACCGAATCCTGAAGATGAAGAGACCCCTCCCCCCAACGTCATGTGTGAGGCAGCTAGTCAAGTGCGCCTTCCCGTCCTACAGACCATTTAGGGAACCAGATGAGAACGCATTCTAGTATCGTTGTAAACAGCACGGTCCCAGCTCTTTAGTCGATGATCCATGAAATCAAATGAACTTTTAAGAGACCCAAACTTGCTCATTTTGCAGATGGGGAAGTTGAGGACTAACCGCAAAGTCACTATTTAAATGGAGCCGAGCAGAGCCTAGAGCTCAGATTCCCAGGTCCCTCCTCCCATCTCCCCGTGCTTTGAGTGTCTCTGGCGTGGGTTTCCCACTAGAGGCACAAAAGTCTGGATCCTTTCTTTGTCTGAGACCGTGTCTGAGACCTGTCTCCTAGGACCTCGAGACACCACACTGGAGCGTTTTAGCCCCGCGGTTTTCTTTTCCATGTCGTTGTCGCCGCCTGGTGGAGTTGCGACGAATTCTCAACAGCCGTGGCTGCAATCCGAGACCTGGACTCAAAATGATTCCCCGGGGCCAAGTTGACACTTGAGCTGGGCCGGAGTGGGGGTGAGCGGGATGGGGAGTATTGCTCGCTTTGCGCAAGCCTCGAATCTTGCCTCCTCCCAGCCCGGTTTTCCCATCCCCCTCCTCCTCCTGGCTCTCTTTCCTATGCGCCCTTCCCCGCCCCCCATCATACACACACACACACACACACACCCCTTCTGATGGAATTGCTCCCCAAAACAGCAGGCAAAGATTGAGAGTCTGAGTCTGAGGGACGGAGGGCAACGAATCCAGATTTTATTGTCAGGGACTGGGAAAGGGGGAAGACGTGGGTGGGGGGCCGGGGTTGCTACATCGTCAAGCAGAAAGAGTTGATGTGGAGGGGAAGGCCAGTGGGGCCCGTCCCTCTCCCGGGTCGGTGCTGGAAGGGCTGACGATACGGAAAGCACAGGGGGTGGGGGAAGGGAAGGTCACGACCCCGCCCGAATTGTGCAGTGGAGGTGTCTGGTGGGAGGGGACAGCCTTGAGGTCTAGGAACTGGGATGGGGGAGGCTACAGACTGCAAATCCTGCGGGAAGGGGCGGGGCGGGGGCGAGGCTTCTATTGCTTTTTGCTCACAGTTTTGCGGAAGGCGAGGCGGGGGTGGGCTTGGACTGGACACCCCTTGCCCCCCTTGGTACCCCTTGGGCGATGGGTGCTGGTGAAAAGAATGGAATCCGGACTGGGAAGGAAGAAGGTGAGGGGATGGGTCTATAGGGGCATCTACTTGGTCCCACCCAAATGCCAGAGATGCCCCCAAGTGCTGCCCGTGGGCCAGGCTAGACCTGGGCTGGGGCATGATGCGGGGCGGGCACAGTGAGGTTGCAGGCGGTAAAACCAAAGTGCTTATGAGGGACCCAGGATCCCGCCTGCTCCCCTCCCCCTGCGGAGGACAGGGGTGTTCACGGAAGCGCTTCAGTTTGGGGGTAGGGGGCGCCGGAGTCCCAGAGTCCGCTTATTGCCAAGAAAATCCATTTCTGCCCCCTGGACCCCGACCATGGCTTGTGAACCCCGTTTTGTGCTAGGTTGGGGGGGAAGGGCTGGATGGACATGGCTTTTGGGAGGGGGGGTGTCTCCAAGGGGGCTCGGGGGTGAGACGGCCCCCCCTTTTCTAGGGGAGAAGGAAGGGCAGGGGGCGGGGTTCCCTGAGATCTGGGGTGTTCCCCCCTTCTGAAGCCCCCCTCCCCCGCTACCCCTCCCCTTTCCTGGAACCCCGTACCTCGGGGTGGGGGGAGGGAGAGAGATCATTCAGGGAGTGCCGGGAGGAGGGGCGGGCTGGGTGCCCGGAGGCCTGGGTCCGGGGTGGGGGGGGGGGGGGGGGTTGAATGGGAGGGGGTTCAGGGTTCAGGTTTCAGGTCAGTAGGGGGAGAAGAGAATGGGTCCGTGCGCAGTTCGGATGGGCCCGGGGGCGGGGTGGAGCAGGGGATGGGTGATCGGCGGTCCCTGGAGAAGAGGTGCGGCTGGAGCCGGGCGCAGAGACAGCGGCGAGCCTGCTGCCGCTGCCATCACCGCAGCCACCGCCAGGGGGCTGGGGAGCAGGCCGCCGGCCAGGGACTTGGGCAGTTCCTTGGAGAAAGTCAGCGTGCCCTGCAGGGGGAAGAGGGCGGGGAGGGGAGAGGGAACAGTCATTCTGTGGCCTGGCCAACTCCACCTCTCCCAGGGCGGCCGGCATCCCCTCCCCTCCCCGCTCAGGTCTCCTGCTTTGGCCAAATTATCCATCGTCCAGGCCTCACCGCTAGTTCTCCGGCGCCCCTAGGCTTCTTGTGACGGCTCAGTAGCGGGTTGGGCTTCCCGGCCACGCCATCTCGGTGCCGCCGGCTGGAAATGTGCTGTAAGGACCAGTGGGTGGGGGCCCGTGAGCCATGGGGAAAGGAGCGGCCGCCAGGGAGCAAGGTACTCACACCTCAGCACCCGGGCCTGCCCCTTCTGTGGCACCAAAGGGGAGGACCCTGAGGGAATGCCCTCACCCAAGCTCCCCCTCTCCTCCCCCGTAGCAGGTACCCTCCAGAGGATTCCTGGGGAGGGCCTCAGACCCACCTGTTTCAGTTGGACCTCCGAGTTGACCTTGACATTGCAGATCTCACAGTGGAAGGTTCGGTCCTGGGCAGGGGCCTCGGGCTCCCCAGGAGCGGGAGGCCCCAGCCGGGGGTAGGCTTTGATGGGGCCCAGGCCACTGCGGGCCTCCAGAATGGTCTTGTGCTTGGTACCTGAAGCCCGCAGGGGGCAAGGGGTGGAGAAAAATTCTCCAGGCCTGCTAGGCCTCAAACACCCTCATTTCCAATGACAATACTGACGGGCTGCATCAGGTGTGGGGCTTTGCCAAACCCCTTGCGGCCCTTTCGAAGGTGGGTCAGGGGAGAGTCATAATTACAAGCAGTAAGGTAGGGAGGGGGTGGGGAGGAAACTGAGGAGGCAAGAGGCTAAGGAATGAGGGAGATGCTGAGAGGGAGACAGGCTGGTGAGCCTTAGAGGGTCAGGCATGTTGGAAACCCCGGAGTTGGGAGGTAGGGGGCAGTAGTGGGCTGAGGACAGGGCAGTGGGCCTGCGGGAGGGGAGGCCATACCTTTGTTATGTGCCTCAAGCTGGGACAGGGAGTTCACTGCCACCTTGCACAGAGCACAGTAGAGCAGCCGCTTGGCCTTCTCTTCCTCTTCCTTGCTACCCCCAGGCAGGGAAGCTGGGGCTGGAGTCCCCCCTTCACCCTTGGTCGCACCCTGACCAGTCTCCGGAACGCTGGGAGGGGATGGGGAGCCAGGCTGTTTCTCTGGGGATCCTGGGGCTGGACCCACTCCATTCTCCATGGAAACTGTCATTGGGGGAGAAACATAGGGATCATCCCAGATAGCTTTCGGAGAAGATTCTTTATGTGGAGGAGACCTACCCCCATTTCCTGGAGGGCAGGGGCCCAGGAGTCCCCACCCTGTGACAACATGCATACACTCATGCCCTGGACCAGAGCCACGTGTGGTCCAGAGCCACGTGTGGTCCAGCTGCTGCAGGCTGGGTGTGAGACTCCAACGCCTGGCTCGCTCTCCATAAGCTGGGAATGGCTGATGGGTCTGAACCCACCAGCCTCCCTTACAGCCAGGGTGAAGCTGGCAGCCAGTCTAGCCAGGGGGAGAGCGGCATGGAGCAAAGAATCTCCCCTCCAAGGCCTGCCAGCCAGCCTGGGCTTTCTGCCCGGCCAGCCCCCTCTCAGAGGCCTGCCCAGTCCCTGGGGAGGCATGCCAAAGAACTCTAGGAAGGGGCCGAAGCGAGGTGAGACGAGCCTGGGAGAGACAGACACAGACATGGCGAAAGGGAAACAGAAACAGCAGAACCGGAGAGGGAAGAAACAGGGATGTGGGCTGCTCTATAATTCATGGCTTGATTAAAGATGCACAGGCCCCAGTCCTCAGCACTGGGTTCTGGCCTCTGCACAGGGGAAACTCAAGCGCTCCCATTCTTGCTCCAGTGGCCGATCCAGTTTCCGGGTCAGGGAGAGGCCGGGGGTGGGAGTGGGGGTGGGGATGGGGGGCTGGTGGGAGGGGACCCCCCGAGCCCTGCAGATGTCCATTTGTTGGTCCATCCTGGGATCTTTCTCGTTTTTTTTTTTCCCCTCACTTCCTCATTTCTGCCATCCTTTATCTCCATCCCAATCCAGACAGCATACTCATATCTCAATCTGGACAGGCCCTCCTGGCTTTCAAAAGCAGGACAGGTTTCCTTATCTCCTTAGAGAGATACCCCAGGAACTCAGTGAGGTAGTATACATCGAGCATTGAGAACGGTGCTAGACAGGCAGCGTTAGCTGCATCACCACCATCGTCAGCCTCCTTTGACAGAGACATTACCAAATGAACACAAGATGTTCAGGCTAAGAAGCAGCTAGAACTCAGCTCACTTGCTTGCCCTATTCATGCATCCCTGAGGACTGTGTGTGTGTGTGTGTGTGTGTGTGTGTGTGGTGAGAGTGGGGACCTGTTTCCCGGTTCTCATTCTTAGGATGGGGCAGGAAGGACAGGCAAGGATAAGGAGGACATGGGGTTACTGAGTCTCCCTGGAGTTGGCCCTGACTGACATCTGATGTGGTAATCCTGGGATGGGGGTAGCTCAGATCTTCCTGTCTTGATATTCCTTCTTTCCAGTTTCTTGGCTAGGAATATGGTTGAGGATGGCCATCAGCCATGAGGGAGAAAGAATCTCACAGATCTTCAAGTCTCAGTCCCTCATGTCCCCAGAAAGAAAATTCTAGCCTAGAGAGGTCAAAAGATCTACCCAAGATCACCCAGGGAGTTGCCTGGATTTCCTGGGCTCAGTCCTCCCCGATGGAGCGGGGAGCCTCCATGGGCAGGCCCTCAGATATCTTGATTCTTTCCCCTGCTCCTCTGCCCAAGATGAAGGGACCTCTCCCTGCATTTGATGGTTCTCTCTTTCTTGAGGAAGTCTGCCAGGTGGCCTCACCCTAGCCCCTCTCTGAGTCACTGGGCAGTGGGGAGGACAGAGAGTGGGGACTCTGCTGAGAGGAGCTGGGGCGGGAGTGGGGGTGACAGGATGGAAATTTTGCATCACTGGGTTTGGCTGCAGGACTCACCTTGGGTGGGGGTGGGGGGGCTGAGGAAGAGAGAGATGAAAGCAGAGGAGTTCTGGGAGTGGGGACAGAATGGAGGAGACAAGGTCTGCTGAAGGGTGTGGGGATGCTGGACTTACCTGGACGGGGGGCTGCACCATCTCCATTTGGGGGGGTGCTGCCTGGAGGAGCTGGGTCTCCTGGTTCCCGGACGCTGGGCTCCCTGCCTCGGGTCTTGGCAGCCTCGATGCCTTTGACTCTTCGGGCATGGCGATTACCCTTGTAGTGTGCCTCAGCCTGGCTCTTTAGGGATGGAGGAAGAGAAGGGAATCTGAGATCACCTTTCATCTGAATGTTCTCCTCATGGATCTGTCAGATCCTGGGGTGGCCTCAGCGGGCTGCAGTAAAAGTTGTCCTCACACCAGGGATATGTAAAGCCCCACGCCGAGGAGCCCTGATTATTCCTTGGGCTCAGTCGTGGGGAACCTGGGTCCCCATCTAGCCTGGGCTCTATCCCACCACCTCACCCAGGGCCTGGCTGCTGACTCAGGCTTCCCACCTTGTCCAGGGCTGAGAGAAAGGGAACTCAGTCTATGCATGCTAAGTTGCTTCAGTCATGTCCGACTCTTTGTGACCCCATAGACTGTAGCCAGCCAGGGTCCTTTGTCCATGGGATTCTCCAGGCAAGAATACTGGAGTGGGTTGCCATGCCCTTTTCCAGGGGATCTTCCCGACCCAGGGAAGAGACATAACCTGAGTCTCTTATGTCTCCTGCATTGGCAGGTGGGTTCTTGACCACTAGCACCACCTGGGAAGTCCACTCGCACCAACAGGGGTAATGGCAGGGGCCGAGCAATCCAGCCAGCCTGCATCTCCTATGGCCCTGGGGTTTTCTGCGCCAGTGTCCCCTGGCCCCAGCGTCCAGCCTTGCTGTTTCCATGCTCAAGCTGGGAGTCCCAGGAGCATTGAAGCCTGGGCTCTACCCTGAATACTCCCCCCGGGTCTCATTTTCCCTGAGGCCTCTGTGGACACCCTGGAGGACCCTGGCCCCCAGCCCAGCTCTGGAGACAGAGACAGCAGCAGAGACAGCTGTCAAAACAGAACTGCTTGGTCGGGGGTGGGGGTGGGGGGTGAGGGAGGGCAGAAACAGGGGAGGGCTGCCTACCACTGGGCCCTGGCCCCTTCAGTCTCACAGTGAGTGGAGCCAGGATTGGGAGAGGGGGTTCTTGGGGTCAAGGTCAAGGTGAAGTCTAAATCTGAGTTGGTCCTGGCTCCACCCCCACCCTGCATGCACCCTCTGCTAAGAATACACAATCCTGGAACCATAAGAACATCCAGACAGGGTAAAGTAGAAATAAAAGGTGTGGATAGGCAGGAAAAGATTGACAGCGCAGGGTGGGGCAGCGGTCTGGCAGCATGGTGTGTGTGTGTGTGTGTGTGTGTGTGTGTGTGTGTGTGTACTGGGGAGAGAAATAGAACATGCTTTCTTTTCCTCTACTCAGCAGAATGAGGCTGTGCTGTTTTTCTCCAAAAGCTCTCAGAGCCTGCACCCCACAGAGTCCCCTACAGACTCACAGAAAAGGGAGCCTCAGAGGGGGATAATCTGGGAGGCCAAATACCTTGGTTCTGACTCCTAGGTTTTGGGTGGCTTCTCCCATGAGACAGATAGGAGAGCAGTAGGGGCCAGGCCTTGGGTATGATTTGGAGAGACAGGGAAAGCAGGAGGTTAGAGGGAAGTAGCGGGGCTGGGAGGAGTTTAGCAGAGGCCAAGGAAGGCACTGGGCTTCCCTGGTGGCTCAGTGGTGAAGAACCTGCCTGCCAGTGCAGAAAGCCTCAGGTTTGACCCCTGGGTTGGGAAGATCCCCTGGAGGAGGAAATGGCAACCCACTCCAGTATTCTTGTCTGGGAATTCCCATGGACAGAGGAGCCTAGTAGGCTTCAGTCCTTGGGAAGGCAAAGAGTTGGATACGACTGAGCGACTAACCAACAACAAGGAGGGTACACAGACTCTGCAGGGGGGCCAGTGACACAAGTCAACCCTGCACCCAAGACCAGCGGGCCAGAGGCCACACTCCCACCTGGACGCAGATGGCCACCTGTGTTCTAAGAAGTTCTGAGGCAGGAATGCCTCAGTCCCCGAGGGAGGAGTTATAGGGCAAGGGAAGAATGTCTGGAAACATTATGAGTTGAATTGAGTCCCCCAAGAAAGATCTCTGGTCCCTCCGGAGGGCTTCCATCGGTCCTGCCCCTCCTGCAGTATCCTCTGAGACCCCCTTAATCCCCACCCCTCACCCAGAGCTCCCCAGCTCCCACCCTCCCACAAGATGCCGCGCAGCCCCTATTCCACCTGCCCCACCCACTGGATGCATGAATGGCTGAGAATCTTACCTGAGAGTTGAAGCGAATCTGACAGACATTGCAGGAGATGATGGGCCGCTTGGTCTTGAGCAAGGGTCCCCCAAAAGTGTGGGAGAGTACAGCCTTCTGCACAGGGTCCATCTGTGGAGGCAGGCTGGGGTAAGCCAGGGACCCCAGCACAAGCTCATGTCCATCATAACCCCAGTGGCAGCAGCTGGGCTGAACCAAAGTGCCCAAGCTTCCTCCCCACTCTTGAGTGGGCCAGAAGGCCCCGAGCCTCGGTTCCCTGATTCTCTCCCAGCCCAGTCTTCATAGCACTGGAAGGGCCCTGAGAGAGCCCCTGGCCCAATACTCCCATTTGACAGAAAGTAGAAGTGACTTGCCCAAGGTCACAGCATGCGTTAGTAGCCGAGTTGGGACTTGAACCTGGACTCCTGCATCCATCTGTTATACCATGAAGATTGAATCCTGTCACATTGACTTTTTTCCTGAGCTAATCCACCAGAGGCCCACTTAGGAAGTCCCCAAAGCATCCCAGATCCTAAGGCCTTTGGCTAAAGCCTTTTTCAGCCTTTCACCAAGCCAAGCCAAGGAGACAGATGTTCCCAGCTTCCCATCTCTGGGCCCCAGGTTGCCCTGACATGCTCACTCCCTGGACCTCTTAAGAGTAGCAGTTTCCAGAGGGAGTAAAAGAACTCAGGCGAGAGTAGGTGGCTCCAGTGAATAACGGGGAATAAGGGGGAGCTAAGAAGCCTGGCTGGCCTGAGGAAGCCCAGGCATCTTCTGAACTCCCTCTCTCTGGTCACAGGGCTTCTAGGGCAGGGCTGTGGGGCTGGGCGGGATTAGGAACAGCCTCTGCTCCCACCCTGGATCAGCAGATGTCTTTGCTGTGTCCTGCCAAGAGTTCACATGAGGAGGGAAGAGGATGGGAGTTTCTCTCTGAGGCGCTCTGCTGTCAGGGGGTGAAGCCAGGGGCCCAGAGGCATGAAAACTGCCTCCCTGCTCTTCCTCCTCCCTCTGGCCCCTCAGTGGCCGGGCAGAGGCGAGCCTGGAATGCAGCTGAGGTTGTGCAGGACTGGGTGATCTCTTATAAGCTTAGATCCAAATGAGAGCTGAAACCTTATCTCCTAGGATTAAGTGGAAAAAAACGTTGCTGGAGACTGGGGGGGTCCATAGCTCCTTAGGCGAGGCCCTCCCTATGCCCAGGTCTTCATGATTCCCAAGGAGGCAGCGGTGAGAGACAGGAGCACGGAGCAGGGTCAAGAAGACGGTCTGGAAAGCACACACATCCTGGCTCCTCTCTGCTCCCCTCAGTTGTCTCACTGGCGGCTTGGGGTTAATGTCAAGAAAGGGGCTTCAGCATCCCTGTGAAACAGGCCACCCCACTCGGCAGTAGCAGAGGCAGGAGCCAGGTTCAGATAACCAGGCTGACAGACAAATGTCCATTGCCTGGCCTGCCCATGGCTGGAAGCAGCCCTTCTCAGTGACTCTTCACCTCCTGGAAGCCTGGGTCCTTTTTGGGGGAAGGCCAAACAGGGGAAGACTGGGTGTGTCTGTGTGTGTCTAGGCAGGCTATGATCAATCTGTGCAGGGGTGGAGTGTGAAGGCGTGTCACATGCTGTGTGTACATCATTTATGGATCAACATTTCTGTGTCGGGGGCTCTGCTGAAGCCATGAATGGTCAGGTTGTGCAATCTTCAGCTGTGTGTTTATCGGTGTGAATGTACGATGTGTTTGGCAGAAAGATAGACAGACCAAGTTGGAGACAGGCTTTAATCACAAAGAGGAGACACATGACTGCACTCGACTCTCAGCCCCTAGCCGACAGTCCTCTCTAATCAGGGACCCCCAACCCTGTCCCAGGGATCCCCTCAGCTCCTGGACATCCTCACATGCTGGGTGGGGAATGGAATTCAGCCCAAACAGAAACCCAATCTGGGCCAGGAAACGTAAGTCAAAGAAAACTGTAGGGAGAGAGAAGCGGGAAGGAGAGGGGGACAGAGAGGCCCCGGGTTCTGTCTGTGCCCCACCCAGCACCTCAGCCTGCTCCCCAGGGTGGCTGAGGACCAGTGCCCTGAGGATGACCTGGGAGTTGACAGTCCCAACATCCATCCCTGCCAACAGTCCCTCCCCCACTTGGGTCCTCCCTGCAGGACGAGAGCCTTTTCCTTCTCACACCCCACTCCTCAGGTTTAAGTCCATGAACACCAGCTAGGGGTGGGGGTAAGTAGAGAAGAGGGCAGCAACCCAGCCAGGTGGGTCCCTTCCCACCCTGTCCTCCGGGAAGTGAGGAGACACCGGGCTGAAGGTGAAGGCTCCTGGGCCCAATCCCTGCGCAGGTGGAATGTGAACCACCGAAGTGCTGCTCCAGGCCAAGGTCAAGAGGCCCTGGTGACCTAGATGAGGGCTCTCTGGGGAGGGTAGGGGCCAGCGTCTCTGAGAGCCCATCCCACTCCAGAGCCCCTTCCCTAGGATTCTGGCCTAGACGCTGTCTGGAAAAGTCCACACAACAGTCCCCTCCCACCTGCCCTCCAACAGCAGACATGAAAGGGAATCGCTCCACTAAGCTGGGGCAAAATGAATCAGGAAGGGCAAGGGGGAGGGAAGGGGGAAACCAGATCAGGAACACGAGGGGGGGCTCTGATTATATTTCCTTCCATTGCCCTTTATCTGATGGCACCGCTGCCCATGTTTGACCACCCCACTTCCCCATACCCCCCAGATAAGGCAAAAAGGGGAAGGGGGTGGAATTTCGGGGATGGGGAGACTTGAGGGGCAGGAAGGATGAAATAGGAGAGAGAGGGGGCTAGAGGATGTCCAGAGAGCAGGTGGAAGCTGGTGGGGGAGGGATGCTAGGAAGAGGACTAAGGCTGAGATGGGGTCAAGGCTGCATTAGGGATCTGAGCAGCGGCCTGGCAATCGGAGGGTAGGTGTAGGACCTGATGAGAAGTCTTAAGATTTGGGGGACCTCGAGGATCTGAGAAACAGAGGCCGGGGTATCCAGTATGGTGGCAGCAGGCTGGGGGGCGCCAGATGGGATCCGGAGATTGGTTAGGGCCGCGCCGGTCGTGGGGGATGGGCCGGATAACCCGAGGACCAGGCGAAGGGAGAGGTAGGGAGTCGGGCAGGGGCGGGCGGGGATTGGGGTGGGGGGGCGCTGCGGCAGCGGCGGGAGCCAGGGAGGGAGGAGGGGCCGGGTGGCTTACCCTGCGGGACCCCGGGGGACGCGGCTCCATGGCCCGGGTTGATGGACCCGGGCGGGGAGGCCGAGCCAGGCCGGGCCGGGCAGGCCGGGGACGCGGCGCTCGTTGCCCGGGTGGCTCGGGGCTGTGCGGCCGGGCCGGCCGGGAGAAGGGGAGGCGGCGCCGGCCCGGCCCGGAGCCCGCCCCAGAGGCGGGGCCGTGGGAGGGCCGAGCACGGGGGCGGGGATAGGGAGCTCGGGAGGCATAAAGGGTCGCCTAGAGCGAAAAGAGGACGGGGTGTCCATGTCCAGACACTCGTTCCAGGAAGACCTGGTCCTGGTGAGCGGCATGGGCCAGACGCCCCATTGGGCTTCCTCCACTGGGGACCTTGCTGGGGCTTATATCCCTACGAATCCCATGGCCGACCCTGTTTCTCTAGCTTGGACCTTTCTCCTTTCTGTCACCCCTTCCACCCTCGCTCTTCTAACAGCTTCTCTTTCGAGCCCCCAGACGACCCTTCTGCTCCCTCTGCACACGGCCCCCGTGCCCCTTTTACATGTCACTTCCCCTGCTAGGGATGGGAGACGGGGCCCAGGTACCCAGGTGCCAGGCACTGCTCTCCTAGTGACTCCTCTGGATGGTGGAGCTGGGGTCGCCCAGGGCTGAAGCGACCTCAGGCTGGGGACATCATCCCTAAACTCTTCCCACCTGCTCCCCTCGCCCGCCACCTGCTGGAAAACAGGGTCCCGAAGGTTTATGCTTCGTGCACTTGCTGCCCTCTGGCGGTCGAGTGGGGACAGCACTGGGGGACAAGGGCCAGGAGGGCAGAGCAGCCCACTCCCCCAAACACTTCCTTATCCTTTTCTGGATAAGTCCTAGGAGATTCCGGCTCTCTCATCTCTGGATCTCATCCCCTCCGTTCCACCTAGGGCTGAGAGATGAGAGAAGCAGGGCCCAGGATGCAGAGAGAGAGAGGCTGTCTCTGAGAGACAGTGAGGGATATTCAAGGGCAGAGGGATGAGTAATGCAGGGAGGGGTCTAAAGAGTAAGAACTACCGGGAGTAGGAGAGACCTGGAAGTATTACAGCAAAGAAGGAGAGGCTCTGCCATGAATAATAATATCACCACCACCATCTAATGTTGATTGAGCCCTTGGAATGTGCCAGCCTGTGGACTGAGCTCTTTGCATGGATTATCTAATTTAATCTTCACAACCACTATTGGAAGTAAGTACTATTATTATCTTCATTTTATAGATGAGGGAACTGAGGTTTAGAGAGGCTAAATAATTTGCCCAAGGTCATAAGCTAGTAAGTGGCTGAACTGGGATTTGAATTTAAACCTGGGCAGCCTGACTCCAAAGCCCTGTACTTAACTGCTGCACACCACTGCCAAGGCCTGTCTGCAGCTTTTCTGCAGTCCTTGTTCCCCTGCAGAATTTGACACTATTGATGCAGCCCGCCACACTCTCTCGCTTGGCTTCCAACTCTACAAAAACCCAATTCTGTCCCCACCCCCTCCTGTGGCTCCTCCATTTCCTTTGCTGGAGCCTCCTCCTGTTACCACTGCCTAGCTCTGCGTATTCCCCGAGGCTTGGGCCTTGGCCAAACTACCTTTCTCTCTCTGATCATCTATAAAATAAAAACAATAGAAATAACATAATAATCATAGCAGCTTACCTTGAAAACTTACTTCATGCTAGGCATTATGATTATGTAATACAATTCTCACAATAACTTGTGAGTTGGTACTATTGCTCTTATTGTACAGCTGATAAAATTGAGATTCAGAGTGGTTAAGTAAATTTGCCTAAGTCACACAGCCAGTACTTTCAGAACATCAATTCGAAGTCTGTCAGTCTGATGCCAAAGTTGGTGCTGCTCAAAACCTGGTCACACTCTCTCCAAGCTTATCCATGCTCCTGGCTTTAAATGGCTCATTCCCACCAGAGGCCATGAAACCATGAATCCAGGGAGTCAGAAACCTGAGATTATCCAAGTGAATAGACTAAATAGCTTTGTGACCTTGGGCAAATCACTTAACCTCTCTGAGTCTGTGTTTCCTCATTTATAAAATGGGGACAAAGGGCTGTCCAGTGGTGAAGACTCTAAGCTCCCAATGCAGGGGACATGGGTTTGACCCTTGGTTGGGGAACTAAGATCCTGCATGTTGCATGATGTGTGCAAAAAATAAATGGGGACAATGATGGGAGACATGAGGTTAAGTGTCAGTCAGGTATGCCGATTGGGGGGAAAGTATTTTCAGCACCTTCTGTTCCAATCACACCCAGTCAATTGCAGTTTCTCAAATGCTCTTTTCTAGTCCTTGTTTCAGTCTGGAATATTCTCTGAGGCCCCTTTTAAAATCCTACTAATAATTCTTTTTTTTTTTTAAATCCTACTAATAACTCTTCAAAGCCCAAATCATAACGTCATCTGCTCCAGCTTCAATCCCTTTTTCCTCCACTGTTTTTTTTCCCCTGCTCAGCTCCAGTTGGTCCCTCACCACATCCAACGAGTCTTTTCTGATACTGCTTTGGGCTGCCCTACAAGCTGCATGCCTCCAGCACAGCTCTTCTCACACTATAGGGTAAATGCTAACTTGTTATCTTTCCTACCATACTGTGAGCTCTCCAAGCAGACTGAGTCCTGTGTCCCTGACACCTGGTGCAGTGCCTGGCACATAGTAGGTGCTCAAAAAATTTTTCATTCAATTGAATTTTTGTGTCTGTCTCTTTTGCCATATTTCTAACCCTTCCTCTGTTTTGCATTGTAGATCATTTCATGCACATCTATACTTCTCCGAATATAAGCGTCTTTAGGACTGGAGCATGTTATATTTACCCTCACATCTCCATCATATCTAGCACAGCACCCTGCTTATAGTCAGTATTCAGTTTTCTTGTCTGTAAAACATGGATAAAATGGCAGCTACCCCATAGGGTTGCTATAAAGATTGAGATATGAAAAATGCTTTGTAAACAAAGTGCAATGCAAATGTTGATTGGATTCTCTGAGAAGAGTTTGGAGGGAACAGCAGGTATAAAGAGAACTCTTTTGGAGTTAGATGCTCTGGGTTCAAATCATACCTTAGGCACATACTGTGTCAACTTAGATACATTCCTTCAGGGCCTTAGTTTCTGTCTTCCTATATGTCAAACTGGAATAATAGTGTCTACTTTGTTGGGTAGTGATGAAGATTAAATGAGATCACATATAAAGAAACATCTACTGGTTAGGACTCACTTTTTCACTGCTGAGGGCCCAGGTTCAATTCCTGGTTAGGGAACTAAGATCCCATAAGTCACCCAGTGTGGCCAAAACAATGATAGAACCATTTACTGCAGTGCCTGATGCATAGCTGATGCTCAATATGCTCATACCTGGATATGGTTTGATGGTGGGTTACTTGAGTTGAACAAAGCTGAACTTTCCCCAAACCTTTAGCTCCAGCCCACACTCCAGGTCCCACGTTCCAACTGTCCGCTGGACATTTTTGGCTCAGTGTCCCACTGGCCCACAACTCACCATGTCTTCAAGTGAGTTTAGCAGCCTCACCTCAGGCCAGCCTCCTCCTCTGACCCCCTGCCCCTGGCAAGGTAACTTCTTTCTCTCAGTCACCGAGGCCTGAAACCGGGAGTCATCCTTGACTCATCCTCTCCCTTTTCCCCTGGTTCCCAAACCCTGGTTGGTCACCGTGGCCTGTCAACAGTTCCTTGGAAACACCTCACCCCTCCCCCTTCCTCTGCTCACTCTGCTGCTGTCATGGGCCCAGTCTGGCTCTCCAGGCTCCCCTGCAGGCTCTGGATAGCACCTTGTTTATAGTCAGTACTGTTTTCTTATCTGTAAAACAAGGGTAAAATGGCAGCTACCCCATAGGGTTGCTATAAAGACTGAAATATGCAAAATGCTTTGTAAACCTCAAAGTGCAATGCAAATGTTGGTATTGCAGGGCCAACCTCCTGACTGGCCACTGTCCTCCAGCCTTTGCTCTCTTCCCTCCTACCCCACTCACCTGCCTCAAACACTGCTTCTCCAGCTCACTCTCCTGCTCAAGAATGGATAATGTCTCCCTATTTCATATTGTATTAAATCTAGACAACTTAGCTGGCCCTTCAAGCCCTACTGCATGAACCTCCCCGCCCCCCCCAACAGTGGGCTCCAGAGAGATGGAGCTTACAAACAGGCTGCCTGTGCCCTTGTGGAGTCTCTCTTTCCATCTCCTTGTCATCACTGCCCCCAGTCTAGGTCTCATGACTTCTCTTGATGGTGGACTGATTGAGATGATTCACATAAAACACCCAGCACAGTGTCTGGCCCGTAGCCGAACTTCAGCGATTATCAGCTATTATGGATATTGTTGTCAATGGTATACCAGAAAGTCTACGATGCTTGTAACTGACTAGAAGTGAGGGATGGGGCCCTGAGATAAGGAATTAAACGGAATAGGAGAAGAAGGCAGGGATGGATCCGAGGGAGAGAAGGAGCCAGGTGGTGGGAGGGTGGCGAAGGCAGGCAGGCAGGTTGCTACTCACAGCGCTGTAGTTGCTGAAGAGGCCCAGGGTGGGTGCCGGCTCCAGTGGGAAGGGCAGGATCTGCTTGAGGTCCAGTGGGGGCTGCATGATTGGGGGCTGCCGTAGCAGAGGGAGGGGCCCTGCCCGGCTCAAGCTGCCTAAAGGGCAGAGAAAACATTATGTAGGGCAGGAAGATTGACTCTTGGGAGCCCCACCCAAGCCTGGCAGTCCCAATCCCCAGATGGGGCCCCCAAACTCAGAAGTGCTACCGACCCCCATCACACACACTTCCCCCTGCTGATTGGCTCCGGAGCAATGGAGCAAGGTGCCCTGTGGGCCTGGGGGAGGGTGCAGATCTGTCGTTCTTCCCTTCTGGGTGATTTTCACTTCCCCCTTCTCCAGCCTCCCTCCACCAAGACCTTCAGGCGTTTTACAAACCCAGGAAGATCACAGGCCTTATCTGCAGGCCCCTGACAGACCAGCAGGACTGGGAGTCCCAGACCCCTGGCTACTCTCTTCTTCCGGTTTTGCCGTCCCCCAGGGAATCCCAAAAGCTTACCCCAGGGAGAACAGTCAGGTGAGTGATTCATCCCACTGCTTAGAGGGGAATATTGAGACCTGGATTTGAAGGAGGGCTGCTGAATCTTTCAGGCTCCCCAAAGAGTTATGATTTTGTCCCAATTGTAATTCTTAATGAACTGTCGACGTCCGGGGTCAGCGAGTGGCATTTGCTCTGGGAGGCGGGCTGCCTGGGACCATTCTCAGAGCCCCTTCTCCCAACTGGTCTGTCTTCCCCAGGCACCTCTGTTGGTCGCTGCCGGAATGTTCGCTCCGGCTCTGCAGGAGGAACTGTGACCAGCCTCCGGGAGGGGAATGCCTGGGTCTGACCCCAAGGGGAAATGAAAGTCCAGGCCAGCCAAGCCACTACCCTCCCTGAAACCTTCTCCTCCCCCAGAGCCATGGGAGGGGCCCTGCCAGGCTCCACAGGGTGGTCCCCAAGGCCCTAAGTACCCCTCTGGGCTTCTGCTGGCCCAGCTCCCTTCTGCAATCTCACCGTCCACCGGTCAGGGAACTCTGGCTGCCCTTCATGGCTCCAGCAACCCCCTGCCAGCACCAGGGGTTCCCAGGAACAAAGGCAAACCCAGGAGCCTGCAAGCTTAGCCCCGTCCTCCCTTGACCTCACTGGGGCAGAGGGTCCCCCCCCACCCGGATCCTTTCCTGCTCCCTCCAGAGACGGCCCCCTTTCATACCTTCAGTGTCTGGTGCCCTCTGCCCCCAGGCAGTGGCCTGGCCCTGGCCCCCCAGGGGCCTGGGCCTGACAGCGTCCCCTTCCCTTGGTTCTGCCCCCTGCCCCCTCCCTTGCCAGCCCCCCCCACCCAGGTCCAGTCAGTAGAACCAGCCAATCAGAGTCCTGGAAAAGTGGGGCAGAGGGGAGGGCGGGGGAGCAGGGATTAGGGGAATCAGAGGCAAGAGGGAGGGGGTGGGGAGGGCTCAGGCACAGCTGGGGGCAGGGAGCTGGTCCAGGAAGGTTGGAGGGGTCTGCCTTTTTCACCCACTGCTATGACTGCATGGCCAAGGGCCCTGAGGCTAAGGGGGTTAAGGCTGCTGGGAGCTTGGGCGGCAGACATCTAAGGGCTGAAGGAGAAGGGTGGGATGCTTAGCCTTGGCCCTAGGGCAGCTGGGGGTCTGTAAGTCATGTCCATTCCCTCCTCACCTTGGGGTTGAGACAGGGTCGGGGGTAGGAGAGAGACAGACAGACAAGCAGATAAAAGTGAGGGAGAGAGAACAGGAAAGACTAACAGAAGCAGGAATAGGTGACTGAGGAAAGGGACATAGAGGCTGAGAGAGAAGAAGTTAGGGGACAATGGAGAGCTGAAGAGAGTAAAATGAGGGAGAAACAGAGACACCGCAGAGAAACTGGACACAGCGCTAGGGACAAGGGCAGAAAGACCAGAAAACAGAGAACGAGAGAGGAGAAAGAGGGATGGGCAGACTGATGGGGTAGGGCGACCATCTCCCCTTCCTCTCTGTTCCCCCCCTGGCTTCTCCCTTCTGTGCCCACCCCCTCCTGCCTGGCACACAAGGCCAGGGCAGCCTTAACGAGCCCCGGGCGGCATCAGGAATGGTGAGAGAAACCTGAGCGCTCCCAGAGTCCCCGGCACCCAGCACCCACCCCGAGCAGCTGGTTCGGGGCTGGCACTTGCCCTGGCCCCAGAGAGGGCAGCAGCTCAACTCCCTGACCCTTTCCCTGGCTCAGGATTCTCCAGGTCCCCGCCCCTCAAACACCCATCTCGGAGGAGAGAGGTGAGTTCCGCAAAAGGCAACAGGAAAACAAATATATCCAGGCTTTCTGAGTATCAGCACATTTCATCTCTGAGGGAACCATTCTATGCGGTAGCTAATACTAGGTTTTAACCATTTGACATATGAAGAAACTAAGGCTCGGAAGAGTTACAAAGACTTGGTTGATATTACACAACCTGTAAGTATCAGGGTTGAGATTTCAATGAAGATCTGTCACCCTCTGTAGCAAATGCTTCCTCTGCTACATAACCCCGAAGGGCTCCAATCTAACTCTGAATTCAGCAAAGATATGAGCAAGGCTTCCATCTTGTCCAAGGAGAGGAAACGGAGAACAAGTTCCACGTACTTCCTGGGGCTGGAGGAAAAGAGGTAGCCACCACTTGGTTTCCTTTGACCAGCAACTCATCTTTTCCACTGATGTGAGCCCAAGGGTGGGGGGAGGGAAGGGGAAGTGGGAGGAAGGAACTAAGGATGGAGTGAAGTAAGGAAACAAAGAGGGCAGCTAGAGATTCGTATGTCTCTTTCCCAGAGTCCTGGGAGTCTTTCCCAGATTCCCACTCCATTGAGATCTGGGGTGGAAGGGGGCAGACAGCAGCTTATGGACCCAGTGAGGAGAAACAGGGCCCTCGGTCTGGTAGCCCAAGCCTCAGTCCTTTCCTCTCCTTCTTGGGAATAATAACAGTTGCCACTTTCTGAGGGTCCACTGTGTGCCAGGCACTGTACATACACGCCTCCCTGTGGATGGTTCCACTGCTTACTAGCTGGGTGACGAGCTTGTTGCCTGATCTCACTTCTCCTTTATTAGAAGAGAGCAATGGTATCTTGCACTGTGGAGTTGTTGAAAAGATAGAACAAATCCACGTACAGTGCTGGCCTGCCACAAAGAAAGCTCAATAAGTATTTGCTAAATAAACAAATCCTCATCTTTTAGATGACGGCCATCAGATCAGAGAGGGGGAGTTACTTGATCAAGGTCACACAGCTAGTGAGGCATTTGAATCTAGCAGGCTGGCTCCAGACAGGGCTTTCAGGCACCATACTTTACTAGAGGTAGAAGAGGGAAAGGCAGGAATATAAAGAGGGCTTCGCGGGAGGAAATGAAGCAGGAAATCTGGGGCTCCTGATGGCTGGTTAGGTGAGGGCTTCAGGGGGGTTTGGAGGAGGAGGAGGTGGAGTGCAAACTGGAGTGTGTATGTGTGTGCTAGTGCACAGGCCTGTGGGCGTGCACACCATGTCAGGCAGGGCAGGGAGGAGCTGGGGCCTGGCTGGGACAGGCCACTCCAGAGGGAAACTCATTAGAGTAATTACCTCCAGCAGATAGAGCCCCACCCAACTCTGCTGGGAGAAGCCGAAAGCTTTATTAAAGACTGTTCCCAACCACTTTAGGGGGGTGAGGTCTCAGTCCCTTGGATGCATGTCCATCTGTCCATTTCTGCACCCTACCTGGGCCCTAGGCACTTTGATCTTCTTCAGGTTTCCCCTCCAGCACCAAGCCACAACCAAGCCAGATCTGACTCCTTCCATCCCACTTAGGGCTGGTCTTTTCCTTCCTCTCTTCCCCAGAAACTCTGACCAGGTGGGAGTCCCAGCCCTGGACTCTCTTAAGTGGGCCTGGGGCCTGAAGCTCCTGTGCCGAAGAATGGGAGTGTCTGCCGTGAGCTGGCTCTGGGAGTGGCAGCGTCTGGTAGGAACAGGATCCAGGAAGGGTGCTAGGGTAGGGCTTCGGGTTAGTGTTGGTCTGGAGATCAGACTAGGATGAGATTCAAATCAGAGAGAGGATTTGGGGTTAGGGTGGCAAATGTGTTAGGGTCCATGGTCGTGAAAAACAAGGGGTCAACACTGTATTAAAGTGGGAATTATGCTCAGGGGCCAAAGGAGAAATGAGATTGGCATCTGGTCTTGAATCTCTCTAATCCATTTTTTTCTCTTCAGGCCTTTTGGTCTCTTCTAAACCCCAGACATTTTTAAAACTGGGGGGTTGTGGGGGAGAGCCTGAAACCCCTGGATCTTGCTTTCTTGACCAGCTCTCAGGTATCTGTCTCCTTCTGCTTCAGTTTCCCCCGTCTTGGCAGGAGGCAGGCTGAGTGCTGGGAAGGCTTTGAAGTCAGAGATGAAAGCAACAAGGGGATGATTATGAACAACTACTCAAAACATCATCCCTAATAACCCTGGGGTGGATTGGGCGGGGGCAGGGCCTAAAAGGGAGGAGGTGGCCAGGAAAGGAAGAAGGAAGACCCCTGCAAAAATTTCCCCAGCCTGACTGGAAAGGCCTCCTTCAATGCCCCCAACCCCCACAACACCACACTAAGGGCCCAGTTGCAGAGGAGCGTAAGAAAAGCTCAGAATAGGGAACCTGAGCCCAGAATCACCACCTTAAACCTGGGCCCACAGACTAGTTCTTGAGTAGGCAGGCTGGGCCTCGCCTGGAGGACACCCACACACAGCTTCAGTGGACCTCAGCATTTAGAACATGAAAACCTTAGAATGGGCCTCAGGCCCAGCTGGCAGCTTCCTCCCTCTTTCTTTCCTTGTCTAAGAGAGCTAAGGTGTGTGGCCCACCAGGCTTCCCACTGCTCCATGGGCTTGGCACAAGGAGGGAGTTAATTACAGTGTCTGTCCTCAGGGAGATGTGGTGGGGGTCCAATTGGTGGCCCCTGGCATTCCTCCTGTGGTGGGGTCTTGGTCTGGTACTAGCAGAAGTCCTCTCCAGGGCCTACTGACCAGGAGAAGCACAGCTCCAACTGGCCTATCCCAGACAAGCGTGATGCTGCCTCTGGGGTTCATGCCCAGGGTGGGGCCAGGGTGTGGGGGATTGCACAGGTTGGAAGAATGTGGAGCCTGTGCTCTGGGGACCTGAGACCAAGTGTGTTGGTGGGGGTCACACAAGGGTAGGGATTGTCTAGATGGGAGGGGAGTCTCTTCCCTGCTAGAGATCCTCTTGGGAAGGAAGGCAAGCAACCAGTCATTCGTGCCTCCATTGGCTCTTTCATTTAATGGATTTGATGGAGTGCCAGGTGGAGGGAGGCAGATGTGGACTGGTGAGAGTGAGGAGATACAGGAAGGGGAGAGAAAGAGATGGAAGAAGGTGGGCAGAAGGGGAGAGAGACCCCTAGTGGGAGTCAATAGGGGTCAAGCCAAAGAAGAAAAGCACAAGAGCCAAGGAGGCACCAGCAGAGGCTGAGGCGGGAGCCAGGCAAGCCCTGGAGCGCCAGCATGGAGCCAGGTGTCCGGTGGGGGCAGGGAGCCCACAGGTGCCTGAGCTGGTGGGCCGTCTCCCATCACAAACAGGGCCCAGGAACCGGCCTGTCCAGGGCAGAGACCAGAGGTCAGAGGACAGAGCACAGCAGTCCGTCGATAGACTACTGTGGAGGCCAGGGCCTGGAGCCGGATCTTCAGAGTCCTCTCCTCCCCCACTCGGGGCTCCCTTCCCATGTAGGTCATGAGGCTGGGGTGGCTGTGGCTGAAGGGATGGCGGGGCCCCGCGGGAGTCTCCCTCCCCTGTCCTGATGCTCTCCGTTGCCCCTTCCTCTGCTGGTGCCCCTCGCCCAAGGCAGGGGTGGGGGTGGGGTGGGGGAGGAAGGAAGAAGAAAGAAGCCGGGAAGGAAGGGCCCGGGCCGCCAGAGCTGGGAGAGAGAGGGGCAGGTCCCGGCGTGTTGGGGCAGGATCCTGCGGAGGCAGGATCCGAGCCGCAGGGGCCCTGGGATGGAGAGTTTCCACCCCTGCTTCTCCCCAGACCCCTTATCTTCAGCCCTCAGGTTCCCACCTCCCACCACACACACCTCGAAGCTACACCCACCATCTTCTCCCCCCGCCCGCCCCCCCACTTCCTCCTTTTCCTCTTATCCTGGGCCCAGAAGGGGGTCGGAGTGTTTGAGCTAAGGGTGGGGGAAGGCGCTGGGGGTGAGGAGGGGGGGCGGGTCAGAACCTTTCGCTCAACTCCACCAGGCCAAGGCCAGCCCCCTCCCCCAGCCGCTCGTAGACAGTCATATAATATTCATGAGGCTCATGAATACGCAATGTGCTCATTGTGGGGCTGGGGTCTCACTCGGCTCTGCCTCCCCCTTTACCACTCCCAGGATTACCGGGAGAAGAAGCGGTAGTTTGGGGAAGGAGGGGGCCCCAGATGTGGAGCCAGATGAAGGGGGAGGGGGGAACCGGTCGCTGACGGGCGGCCGCAGTCACCGCGGTGCGGGAGGTTGGGGGGCGACCTACTGAGAGGGACCCAGGAGCCTGGAGCCGCAGAGCCCACTCACCGAGGATCATGCTGGGGACCCAGGCGCCCGGGGGTTCCGCGTCGCTCTGTCCCGGGGGCCGTTCTGGCCGGGCTGGGGGTACGGGGGGTGGAGTCGGGGGAGGAGCAGAGGCCGGCCTAGGCGGAGCGGGGGCGGAGCCCGCAGCAGGTGAAGACGGGAGGAGGGGGGACCCGGGCGCCCAGGGCTCCAGGAAGGGGCGTCCCGGCCGCTCCTCGCCCTCTCTCGCTTTCTCTTCTACTTGCCGCCCCTAAGTCTCCTGGATTTAAGGTGACGCTGCAGCCAGGGCTGGGGGAACAGGACATCTAGAGGACGGCGTGTGCTGACACAGGAAGCTGGAACTAAGATGCCTGGGATCCCGGGAAGGGCTGAGTCTGAGGGCGGGAAGTCTAGCCATGGGTTGATATGGGGTGGGGGTGGGGTGCCTAAATACTGTGGGGAGGGGTGGGGCCAGGGTGGGTGGGACACCTGAGTCCTCTCCAGAGTGATGGACTGGGCAGAAGCGGAGGGTGGGGGCAGAGATGTTTGGGTCCTTGTTTGTTCCTCTGGCTCTGCAGCAGGATGCCTGAGGGCTGGGTCTCAGAGGTGAAATGTGGGGTTGAAGATGGATCCCAGGTTGATCTCTGGCTGGGATCTGAATGCCTAGATCGTAGTGAAGGTCTGAGGGAAGAGACTGCAATCAGTGGACCCAAGGAGGTGGAAATAGATGCTTGCAACTGAAATCATTAGGGCAACCAGAGGTGACAGGAGATCCAGAACTGAGGCTCAACCTTGTAGATATGGCCTGGATTGGTATGGAGATGGGAGCATCTATCCAGGGCATTCACCACTAAGGTGAGCTTGGGCTAAAGAGGCCTGGTGGGGGGTCTTTGATAAGGTGGAGAAGAGGATGGAGGATAGAACAGACTGTATGTGCTGGGGAGAATGTGGGGGTGGCAAGGCAGAGTACAGGACACTGGATGTTTTCTAAGCACCAACAGCATGTATTCTAAGGCAGGCAACTGGAACCGCAGCATGAGGCTGGAGTCTGGGAGTCTGCGAGGTGTCTGGAGAAGATGCAGCTGCTGCAGCCTGGACCTGTCTGTACCTGCCCCAGGAGGGAGGGCAGGAGGATCTCCCAGAATGCCAAGCAGCCAGCTTCAGGCCAGCCCCAGCCAGAGGGAAAGTAGGTGTGACTAGGAACTAGAACACTTGGGATTTAGGGAGAGTGGAGGCGGGGAGGAAGAGGTCGGGAGGAGGGTTGGGGGGACTGGAGTCTTGGAATAATCTAGAAAAGAGGAAGGGGACTGGAGTGTGGCATTCCTGGGTTCTGCAGGAAATTTAGGACTATATGGCTAATTAAGGTACAGGAAGTTTAAGTTCCTGTTTCTGGGCCTCAGCAGTTTCTTCTCCTCACCCCACTGATCTGGTTTGAAAAAAATATGTTTCTGTACCTGCCAAGATGCTCCAGCTCAAGGGCAAATTCTGAGGGTCCTAATGCCTTGGTCTTGTTCTGATCCAGAGGCCCAGAGATCTAGGGGGATTGTGGCTTTGTGCCTAAATCTGACCTTGGGGGAGAAGGTAGGGTCTCCTAGCCCATCAGAGTTTATCCTTGTGGTCCAGATCCAACCTAACCACCATGCTGTTCCAGCCTCATATCACCAAGCTTGCTCTTCCCAGTTCTTGTTATCCACACCCCCACACACATATACTTCTCCCTGCCTCTTGCTATTCTTTCTCCTCCTGGGCGGCCTCCTGAGAACAAACCAGAGTCAGCATCAGACATAGTTAATTAGTGATAAAGACCCCTTTGCCCTCAGCTTTGTCCACCCTCCCACTCTGTAACCCCCAGGACCCTGAGTTAGAGGGGTCTCAGAAGAGGGGATGCTTAGCTCACCAAGGGGAGGCAGCTGGCTGGAGGGCGGGGTGACCTTGCAGGCAGCTGGAGGGGGGCAGTGTGAGGGGTGAATTCATTATTGATGAGCCCTGCACCCCGGGCTACTAATGAGCCCAGGCCGGCTGCTCTAATTGATGTCAAGAAACTTGAGACCCCCAGATCAGCTTCCCGCCTGCCAGCTGCCTCTCCTAAGTCCCCTCCCCATTCCGTGCCCCCAGCTGCTCTGTTCCCTTCCCAGGCCTCCTTTCCACCTCCACTGACACAGACAGGGCTAGGACTCAGGCCTTTCCCCTATTCTCTTGTCTCTCTGCATCACTCAAGTCTCAAAATGAGAGGCAGACATGCTTTGGAGGGGCTGGGAGATTTGGAAGGGGAAACATACCAGAGCCTGAGAATTACAGTTCAGCGACAGAGAGACTGGGGCTGGGTTACATCTGCAGCACTTGAGCCCAAGGGATTCCTACCTTGCATTGTGCCTACTTGAGAGAGACCTTGTCACTCTCAGAGACTCAGAGGTACAGGCACTAATTATACAGACACACCCATGATACCAGCCCAATACAGCCCACTTCCCCTCCTCATTTCCTCCTCATCATAGTGTAAGAAATCTCAGATTTGGCCCCTGGAGTATGGCTATTGCCATTCCCACCCATCCCCCAAGAAGGCGAGTATGGGATTTCATTCTTGGAGAAATCTCAGTGCCTTGCTATGCCACAGCTGTCATCCTTGGAAATACGGGGTAGCTCTTTGCCTCATCAGGTCTTGCCCTCCCTATAGTCCTTCGTTATGGGTTCTGGGAAGAAGTTTCTGAGTTACAGAATTATTAAGAAGTTGACGATTGGAGTGTAGAGCAGGTTTGAATTCTCAGGAGAGATATTTTGAGATCATGCTGGAACTGCGAGGCAGGAGCCTAAGCTAATAAGAATTGTCTTGTTGATGGGGGAAGAGGGTGAGGAGGATCTCATACATAGCCTCCGTTCCCCAAATTCCCATAAATTTGTGACTGTGCTGCCCTCTGGTGGCTGACCTCAGTCTAGCAGGACATAGACACCTTTGCCTCTTAACAATCCTGTTTGAATTTCAGCACCCCTCCCCATGCTCCTGCTGGACACTAGTTTAGGATAGGCCTCGAGGAGACAGAGGATGCTGAGGGGTTCCCTCACTTTAATTTATCTTCAAAGACCTGAACCGTCTGTCATGTTGGTTAAGAATGTGGGCTTTCACAGTCAGGCAAGGCTGAATTAGACTGTGACCTTGGGCAAGTTACATAACTTCTCTGGACCTCAATTTCCCCTTGTGTAAGTGGGGTTAATTGTGCCTGCCTTGCACATTTAATTTGATAGAAATTAAATGAGATAATGTATGTAAACTATTTAACATTCCCTCTACCCATCGGATTCATGGGGTCGCAAAGAGTCAGACACGACTGAGCGACCGAACTGAACTGAACTGAACTACCCATCGGAATACAATGGGTGATTAAAACAAAACACAAACCCAACTGGCTGTCTTCTGATTTAGTTCTGTGGCCTTTTCTCTCAACCCTTTTCATTATTCTAATTTCGGAAAGCCTAAGTGAGTCTTCTGGGCCATCTTCTTCCACCTTCAGCTCTGACCTCTCCCTTTCTTTGTATTCTTCCCTAACCCTCAAATCCAAAGAGAAGGAATTCCTTTCCCTGTTCTCTTAGAGGTGTTAGGATCAGATCTGGTGGGGCTGGGAGACGGGCAGGAGTCAAGCCCTGCTTTCACCCCTTCCATCATCTCTTCCATGTAAGAAAAGGTAACCCCAAAAGAAGTTCCACAGTTCCTGGGGGGTCATACTCCTGGCTCCCAGTGGAAAGAAACTGCAAGAAACATTTTCTATCCACCAAGCGGTCTGGTTCCAGGAAAGATCTGGAAAGATCTGGAAGGAGTAGGGAGAAGACAGATTCCAGCTCTGATCAGTGGGGGCACCGGGCCGGGTTTATTGCACTTGCAACAGAGTTTAAATAAGTCCCGGGAGCCGGAGCCGAGGGGAGGGGAGGGCTGGGTAGGGAGAGGAGGGGCAGCGTCAGTGCAGCTGGCGGGCAGAGCCCAAACCCGCAGGCCCAGGACAGCAGGCTCCCCCTTTCTGCGGAGGACTCAGAGGGCCTACGTCCAGCCAGGGTTAAGGTTCCAGATCTTTTACCATCATGGCCCCTTCAGGGTCCTGGGCAATTCCTGACTTCTCCTGAGTCAGAGGTGGATTTGGTCTCCAGGCCCAGGTCTGGAGCAGGCTCAAATGTCCTGGATCTGCCAAGTTAGGTTACCAACATCTGAGTCTGGGTCCCAGATGAACTTCAGGCCCCAGAGGCCCCAGGTGCAATCTGGCCCTGTGAAAGTTCTGGTTCCCCTCGGAGCTGCTTCGGGGCCAGCGTGGATCCTGGTGTGGAATCTGTCCTGAGCTGGGCCTGGGGCGCCATCCACGGGTAGTGTTCTTCGTTGGCCCACCGGGGCGGGGGCTGTCCAGAGCTGCCATGTCTCGCTCCCCAGGTTCCAGGCTCTTAGCTGGGGGCTTCCTGTGGATCTCTGGCAAGGCCAACAACAGATCTCTGCGGGTTGGAGCTGGACAGGAAGTCCTGGTGCCACATCTGAGCCGGAGAACTGGGATTGGATCCCCTAGTTCTGGTTCCAAGGTGTTTTCAGGAAATTCTCCAAAATGCAAAGGTGGCAGGGAGGCTGGGGCCTCTGTCCCTGGATCTGAGTTCCCTCATCCATGAGGAGGGCATGTGTAAACGAGGGTCCTTCACAGTGCATGGGGGGAGGGGATCCCCAGCTCCTCACCTCCCGGCTCTGGCCCTTCAAGTATGTCTCTGGGCTGGGGAGAGGAGCTTCTCCCTGGCCCTCAGCACCTTCAGGAAGCGCCCAGCCCCCTCCCTGTCAGTAGACTGAGGGTGGGGGGAAATGGGCCTTCAAGATTGGGAGGAATCAGGCATCGGAGGTGGCTGGAGGCTTGAGCTGAGCTTTTTCCATGGCGGTGCCATACGGGAGGGAGCGTTTGAAGAATCCGAGCTAATGAGAAGAAAGGAGAGAGAATTGAGTTACTTCTCTGCAGATCTTATCCCAGGAAGGTATGAAGATGACTTCAGTGCTTCCAATCTCCCCATCATGCAAAAGTGGCCCAAATTCAGTCTGTGAAGACTACCTCTCCAAGAGGTCTAATGGGCCAGGAGGGCTTAGGCTGGGGTGCTTTGGTGGTGTAAAAATGCCCCCAGTTAAGCCAGGTTTGGCAAACAGATTTGAAGTCTCACTGCCTAGAAGTGGCTGCCTCTTGAGAAGGATTCTGAGGCTCTTGCTAGAGTATGATCAATTAGTGACCGCTACCATGGGTTTCTGGAGCAGGTGACAGACACATATGCCACACACTGGCCACTTGTGAGTCACCTTGATTTTGAAAGTATTGGTAAACTTACCAGCTTGAGTCGAGAGAACTCTAAGCTAGGGGCTGTAGAATGAAAGAAGGGATGGTATAGGCAGTGTCCAGAGGGGATGCATGTGGCTGGAGAACTGGTCTGGAGGCACATACTAGGGAGTGTGCTGGGTCAAGGACAGAACCTGGTGAGAGAAGGCCAAGTCAAGTAGGATGTGGCTGACCTTGTAGAGGATATAGATGAGCAGACCGAGGAGCAGGAGGCCAATGAGGATGGCTAAGATAATGATCCAGAGAGGGACTCCGTGGCTGCCTTCTGCCTTGATCCACTGCACAGCCGTGGCTACCTGGGGAGCAAGCCAGGAGAGATCACTGGAAAGCCACTGGTTCCTCCCACCCTACACTTGGCTCCCACTTCCCACTGGACTTAGAAACCCTCTCTCCCCTCCCACTTTAGGTTAACAGAATTCTGAACTTCAAATTTCTAAAATGTGCGTTATTGTTTCTTTCAGGCCTTCACACCTTTTCCTCGCCCCAGAAAAGATTCCTTTCCTGACCAGTTAGCCTGGTAGAGCCCAGGTCTTGCTTAAACATCACTTCTTCCAGAAAGCCTTTCCCAATTCTGCAAGTCTGTGTTCAAGTGTCCCTATGATGTGGTCCCATAAACATGCTGGTCCTTGTCACACTGTCTTCTTACTCCCCTGTCCATCCTGCTTATCATTGTATTCCCAGGACTTAGCACAGTGCCTGGCCCATAGTAGATGCTCAATCAATGTTTGTTACCATAATCAGGCCAGCCCCTGTCATGTCCCAGTCCTTGTGCCAGGCCCAGAACTCTGTCTTCCTTGGCCCAGCCTGCTGACCTTAGACTTACCTGCAGCTCCTTTTGGGGAAGCTGCCGAGGCAGGATTTTATAGGGCATCTTCAGGGCTTCATACACGGCCTCACACTGCAGGCTAAATGGCTGGTGCGCCCGCTGTGGGTGGGGGAAAGGTGTTCAGGGTGGCCCGTCCTGGCATCTGGAGGACATAGGGCTCCCCAGTTTCTGGCTCTGGTTATAATCTTTCCCTATTTTGAATTCATTCTCTGAATCTCTCTCTACATTCCTTATAAGAGAAAATAAATATGTAACTAAATAGTTATAACTGAATAGTGGATAATTAGATAACAGCATGTTCAATAGCAAAAAAATTCTTGAGTCATTAATATGGGTTAAGCACCTACGACAACGTTTAGCCCATAGTGTGCATTCAACAAATGACTACCATTTCCTGTTTACACATCTGCTTGCCTCTCCACGATGGATTCATCCTCAGTCTCTGTTTTTCTGTCCTTATTTGCCGGCTGGTCTCCCTCCAGCCCTCCCCTCCTCTGAATGGGTCAGAAAAGGGAAGCTGTCGCTCCCAGTGAGGCCACTAGGTGCCGCCAAGGACACACAGCCCTGTCAAAACAACGTGAGGGAGGGGAGTGGGGCTGCCTGGGTCCCAGTCACCAAAGCGGGTGGCTAGGGCAGTGGGGAAAGCGGGGGTCAGTCCAGCAGACCTGAAGGTCAGGGGTCAGGGGTCAGGACTGAGGTGAGGCTCCCTCACCTGTAGGAAGGTCTTGGCCCAGACGCGGAAATGCAGTTGCAGACTTCGGCTCTCTTGCCGGTGGAGTGGCCCCAGCTCGCAGCGCAGCTTGAAACACTCTGCTTCTGGGCATTTCTAGGGGAGAAATAGGAGGCTTGTACCATGACTTCTGCCCTTCTGGTGGCTCTGAGGACCCACGGAGATATTCAACACTTGGGCACAGACCTCATTCCCAGGACAACTTACCAGAATCTGAGGTCCTGAGGAGGCAGGGCTCCGACCTGTAACATCCCGTCTTTGCAGCCGGTGGTGCTGGGAACCTTCGGGATCCAACTGCAAGAGGAAAGAGACCATTAGCTGCCTCTCCCACCTCATTACAGCATCTGAGCCTGCATCTGGGGTCTGCAGCAGCTTTGACCTGGTCTTCCATCCATGCAACTGACCACCTCCTATGGCAAGGCGGCAAGCTCGTTGTTGAAATACGGAAATGAGTAAGATTTGGTCCCTGGAGTTTAGGAGGAGGTGAGGTGTCAATAAATAATTAGGGCACTGACTCTGCCTTGAGGCCTTTGCACTGGCTGTTTCCTCTGCTTGGAATACTCTTTCTTGAGTCTTCACAAGCAGTTTCATCCTTATCTTTCATACTCAATTCACCTGTTCCCTCCTCAAGAGGTTTTCCCTGACGATTCAACTCAAACAGGCTCCCAGCTTCACCCCACCCCAGCAGGTGAGCACTGCACTTTCATCACTTCTCAATATCTGTTCCTCTCTCTTCTAATTTGTATTGTTTATTGTGTGCACATGCTCAGTTGCTCAGTCATGTCCAACTCTTTGTGACCCCATGGACTGTGGTCCACCAGCCTCCTCTAACTATGGGATTTTCCAGGCAAGAAAACTGGAGTGGGTTGCCATTTCCTACTCCAGGGAATCTTCCCAATCCAGGGGTAGAACTCTTGGCTCTTGCCTCTCCTGCATTGACAGGAAGATTCTTTACCACTGTACCACCTGGGAAGTCTTACTGTTTATCACCCTCCTCTAACTCCATGAGAGCAGGGACCTTGTGAATTTTGGTTACTGGGATATTTCCTGAGCTGGTAACATGGTTCTGTAAAGTCATTCATTTAATTTAAATGTTGTCTATGAATAAAATGAACTTTAAAACAGACACTGGGGTCTAGGGGAGTGGGTCTGAAGAAGGCTTTCCAGAGGGGGTGGTGCTGAGCCCTAGGAGTATGCTAGGGCATGGAGTCAGGAAAGGATACTTCAGGCAGAAAGACAGAAGTGCAGTGCTTAAAACAATCCTTTCCCCTCTCACAGCCTCAAGAGGTCTTGGGGGACTTCTGACTGCCTTCCAGTGGCCTCCTAAGTCCTAGCTCCAGGCACATCCTCATTAGCTCTTCCAGGTCCCTGAGACCTTCCCCAACTACCATCAGCTTGGTCCCCCCCACCTCCCGGCCAGTCCCCAGGCCCCTCACCTCCAGGCCCTCTGGGTTGGGGGGGTGACTGGTGGTGCAGTTGCTGAGTCCTGTGACCCTGGTCACGTAGAGGAGCTGCTGGCCATCCAGAGTATGGGGACAGCTGAGCTCCAACACGCCCTGGCTAATGGAGCTGGGGCCCAGGTTGATGAGCTGAGGAGAGGAAGGCACAGTCATCATGGGAAGGGAGGGAGCGATTCTGCCCTGTTGAGACCCGGGTCCCAGTGGCCCACTCTTCCCTGCTCTGAGTCTCAGGAGGCAGGAAATCAACGGGCAGAGATGAAATCCTTTCCAGCCAACTCTTCTGGAGGTGTCTCCATCCTCCCTTCTAAGTCACTCAGTTGGCCAGTCTCTCACTGAACGGTCCAGGCCTTTACCTCTCCCTTCCCCTTCTTCCCCTCAGCCCCTCAGGCTGGCCCCAGCCATCTGTCACTCATACTGGCTCCTCCTTCCCTGTCATTCATTCTAGCCCCGCCCTCCACTCCCAGCAGCCCACTCACCTCATAGACATGGTGGACAGCTGGGCCCACGTCACCCTCCTCCTGCGGCTGGTCTTTGGGATGCCAGTCGCTCACCGGAAATAGCACTGCCTCGGGCTTGGAGACACTGCAGAGGAGGGTGGTTTAGAGGGCAGTGGAAGGGACCCCATTTCATATGCCTTCTTTGCCAGAAGTCGGTCTCCCCTCCCAGAGACGCCCCATTTTGCCCGGGCACTGACCCGTTGAGAGAGACCTGGGCCTGAGCCTCCACCGAGAGCCGGAAGGAAACCACGTCGCTTTGCGAGTTGTTGAGATTCTTGCTGTGGGACGGAGGAGAGCCTCTGATGGTGCTAGAGCCCAGTCGGAATGTCACCTGCACCAGACTCCGCCCCTGCCCCGCCCCCTCCCTACCTGAGGATCTGGAAGTCAAACTGGATGGTTTTCTTCGTGTCCCTAAGGTGAGGGACTGTGAAGCGAAGGCCACCCCAGAGCTGCGGGACAGGGAGGACGGATAAGCGGGCTGTTATACCGGGTGTCTGCCACACACCGACTGCAGCCCTCCTTCCCTTCCCCCCAGCTCAGCTCGGGGTGAGATGGCCCCAGACTTACATTGGCCCCAGCCTTCATGGGGTTGCCCAGGTCACACACCAGCAGACGACTCTGGTTCACAGCAAAATAGTCACAGCTCAGGCTGGAGAAGTTCTGGAGGTGGGGTGAGTGCAGATAAGGCTTCAGTGTCCTTCTGGCAGGGTCTCCTCCCAAGCCCCGCCTGTGGGTCCTCACTCACCCCTGGGTGTCTGACGAGTCCCGAGTACTCAGCTTCCGGAGGGGCTGTGACCCAAAGCTCTGCCTCGTAGGCGCCACCCTCACCCACATTCTGGGCATGGAAAGTGAGGTTCAGAGAATTCTTGTCGCCCAGGTATACGTGGTTCTGCTCCCTGGAGGGGACACACAGGGGTCAGGGACATTGGAGAATTAATCGCCGAGCCAGACAATGGGCCCTAACGATAATAATATAATAATAATAGACACCGTTCACTGACTTCCAGCTTTATGGCAGGCATTAGGCTAGATGCTTTATGTAGATTATTTCATTTAATCCTTCCAAAAAGCTAGAGAAATAGATGCTATTATTCTCACTATACAAAGAAGTTGCGTAATTTCCCAAGGTCACACAGCCAGCTGATATGTTTCTCTTCTACTTTTCCACGTGCCAGGTGCTTCCAAGCTCCACGTGTCCTGCTAGGCGACTTCAGCATCTGGAACCCCCCAGCCTGACGTCAGCCTTCACTCACCCAAACACTTCCAGCTGTAGGTCTGGCACACAGATATTGTCTTCTCCACAGTCCAGCAAGATCTGAGCCTGGGGAGTGGGGCAGCCTTGAGAGGGGGAGTTGCGACTGCCTCCCAAGCTGTTGGCTCCCCACTCCAGGGCCCCGTCCCCAGGGGCCCAGGCCCCTCTCCTCCCGGCCTGTCTCCCCACCCTGCCCTCACCTTGTCCTCTATGCGGCTCTTGCTCTGGTAGTGTAGGACTGGCCGGAGGCCGTGGCTGTCCACTGGGGCTTGAGGGTCCAGGGAGAAATTGAGAGCGATGTGAATCGGGGAGAGTTTATCTCGAAACTCTGACTCGTTCTGGGGCCGGGAGTGGGGGAGGGTTCACAGAGTCAGGGGATACAGGGGACTTGGCGGCCCTGCTCCTCATCCTCTCACATCTCCCTTTGTCCACACAAGACCCTCAAGAATTTAGGTGTCCAAACGACCGTGCTCATTGCTTCTGAGGCAGCCTGGTTCCCAGCTCCTCGGACAAAAAGGCACCCTTCCCCAGCCTCCCAAAGTCCCAGGTCCTTCATTGGAATCTCCCAGTCCTCTTCCTTTCAGGAGGGGTCCCCAGTTCTATGTGGTCACCCTCCCCAAGCCAGTCCACACTCCGCCCTCCTGCCCCTACCCTGAGGTAGATCTTCATCTCTCTGCAGTCCTCCCGAGCCCCGTTCTGGATGAGCAGGGTCTGGGTCAGGGTGGCCTGTCGGGAGGCCAGGAACAGCGCCCGCCGCACCCCGCCCTTCTGCTTCTGCCAGTCCAACTGGAGCTGCACTGTGAAGCCTGTGGCCACGCATGTACATTAAGGAGCATCTTCCCCTCCCTCCTAATTTATCCAGAGAGAAAAGAGGTCCCCAAGTGCCCAGCCCCTCCCCCCCTGCCCCAGTGCCTGAAAGGTTCAGGCAGTCTCCCTCACCGATGGAGTCAGGAACATGTTTTCCAGAAGCATTGAGGCAGAAGCTGAGGTTGATGCTAGAGGACCAAAAGGAAAGCTGGTATATTCACCTGTAACAGGCATCGTATTCTCTGCCTGCCTCCCAGACGGACCTGGACTGGGACAGTCCCATGTGCCCCCTTTCGAAGGCCTGCTCTCCCTCCCCTCTTCCAGGCACAGATGAGGTACCCCCAGACTCCATCCTGCAATCTCCCGCCCCCAGCCCCCTAACTCACCAAGTCACAGGGTTTCCCTCCAAGCTGCAGCTGTGCTCCTCTGGGTTGAACATGGCGGGAAAGATGGTGAGGGAGGCACTGGCAGACACGATGGGGCGACCCCTACCAAGAGTGAACGTGGGGGTCAAAGAACTAGGGCTCCTCAGGAACCTGGGCACAGGAAGCCGATGCCCAAGCCCCAGGATTCCAGTTTGTACACTTCCCCAAACTCAGCCCTACTGAGAAATCCCCCAGTTCCCGTGTCTCCCAGGCTGCCCCCTGCCCGAGTTCATACCTGTATACCACAGCCTTGTCTACACCAAAGGACCCCACAATCAGATCTGCAAGAAATCAAAAGAAACTACCCCTTACAGCAGGCCCCCAAACAGAATTCTTCCCAACCCCTTCTAGCCGCATTGTTCAAGGAAGCTGAAGTGAGGGGGCATCGCCATCTGGTGGTATCATGCTAGAACTGCACCCAGGAGCTTAGGCAAATATATTAGAGGCTAGGGGGTCTGTGACCTGCGAACTCTAAGGTGAAAGGGGCCTCGGGCACCACTCACCAGGGTATCCATTGCCATCTAGGTCTCGGCCTCCTCGAAGGGCAGAGCCAAAGAAGTCCGGCGTGTGGCCAGCTGCCCACAGGGGCAGCAGAACCTGGGAAGGCTTAGCCGCCAGACCCCCTGGGCCCCCAGGGAATATAAACACCACTCCCTGCCGGTTCTCCCCACCAAAGGCAGCCCCAATGGCTACATCTGCAAGACACACAACACGAACCAGTCAGCAGGCCGGGGTCCAGGAGTTCAGATTTCTACCACCAGACCCCAGGACCCAGGATCCGACTTTTCCCATCTGTCATTCCCACTATGCTAAACTCTTCAAGCCCCAAGATCTAGATATTGGGATTAAAATCCTCCAGGAGACACTGGGGGGTCCTGGTTATCTTATCTGACAGTCACCTCTCCCCAGATCCCTTCTGACTCAGGCCCCTGGCTCCTCCTCAGCCACTCGAGCCCATACGGTGCTCACCATTGTAGCCATCCTGGTCTAGGTCCCCCAGGGGGGTCAGGGAGCTGCCGAACCGGCCAAACTCATCCTGGCCAGTGAGGGTCAGGGTGGGCGTGGGCTCCATGCCATCCAGGCGCTGCAGGTAGATGTAGACCCTGCCCACCTCCTGCGGCCGCCCATCGGCTGTCCGCTCCATGAGCAGGGGCGCCCCTACCAGCAAGTCGTCCAGCCTGAAGATAGGGGAAACACCGGCATCCTGAGACCCTGCCGTTCCCCCTCCCCTCCTCAGTCCCAGTGCCAGGAAAGCCCAGGCATCCTGGATTCCCGGCTCTTTTCCACCCAGGGGAGAGACCTGAGATCTTCTGGCTTTTGGCGCTCAGCTCTCTCCTTGCCCCTGAGCTGAGGGAATGCAGGCAGGAGGAGAATCCAGGGAGGAGCTCTCCTTGCGTTTTTCTGTCCCACTCCCACTCCTCACGCCTGGGGAGGGCACCACTGTGCGTTCTCCACTACTCACCCATCCCCATTGATGTCTGTGGCAGCCACTGCGTAGCCAAAATAGGAGGCCATCTGGGGGGGCGGACAGAGCAGCAGCAGCGGGTCAGTACCAGGGAGTCAATCAACAAGGGCTGTGGGGGGAAGTCAGGGACTCCAGGGAGCCTGAGAAGTTGGGCTGAGCTTACTGACTCAGGGCCAGGGCTTGGTTGGCAGAGGGCCAAGCTGGGTTGTAGAGGGGGTGTCCTCACCTGCTCCCCTGAAAAGTTGTAGAGGGACCGGATGTCTGAGCCATTAAGGATGGTGACCTGGGGATGAGGAGATACACCCATTGATCCCAAACTCAGATGGATGGAGGACAAATGGGTACAGGATACCCAGGGGCAGTCATTCCTTGGAGACATAGACCACTTGTCCTGTAATTCCCTTCTGTGCTTTGCCTTCACCATAGCCTTATCTCTGTACTGGTAGCCCCATCTCATGGGGACTTCATTATTTTCCTCCATGTCACCTAGCAACCACTACTGACAGATTCCATACTTATCTGTCTGTTGTGCATCTGATCTACCTACTAGAATGTGAGCTCATGAAGGCAGGAGCTGTTTTGTTCTTTGCTTTCTCCCCAGAGCTTAGTCATGCTTGGTGAGAGTAGACACTAATTATTAGCTGAATGATTGAAGCCTCATTCCCCCAGCCCCATGCACTCATGTCTCCCCCATGTCGCCCCTTAGTGGTGGGCGACACTGGTCTCTTGACTCCTCATTCTCTTCCTCAGTCTTGCTGTTGTTCCTCTGGTGTGAGCCCTCTCCAAGGAATGCTGGAGAAAGCCCTGGTCTCCACCTGCCTCGGACATTCCCTTCCCCTCACTGCCCTTCCCCACGGCACCGAGACTGATCACCCTAGAGCTGGTCTAGGAGGGACACTGCTGGCTTGGAAAATCGTGGTGGTTCTCCGCAGCCATGGCCCAACCTCAGCTTATTGGCTGGTCCTCTGAGGCCCTGGAGAATCTGGACCCAACCTATCTGTTTTTGCCCAGCCTCTCTTTTGTTTATTTGGCTGCACTGGGTCTTAGTTGTGGCATGCAGGATCTTTAGTTGTGACATAAGGGATATCTAGTTCCCTTATGTTCAGGGACTGAACCCAGACCCCTTGCATTGAAAGCATGGATTCATAACTACTGGAGCACCAAGGAATCCCCCAGTCTCTCTTTAGTCTATTGTCAGTCAGCCCATGCTGAACTGGCCTGAATTGTTTCCCTTTCCTTCCATGCCCTTCTCATGCTCCAGTCTAGGATGCTGTCTTTCCTCATCTCCTCTGGTCTTTCATAGAACCTTTTCTGATCCATCCCCACCCTAGAAAGGAGGTTATTACTCCCCCTAAACTGCTGTATCATCTTAACCACTTTCCTGAAATTTACGTTAATGCAGAAAGAATGCCGACTTTGGAATAAAACAGGTCTGGTTTTAAATCTCTTATCCAGCCACTTACTAACTGGGTGATCTTAAACAACTTACTTGGTCTCTTCCAGTCTCAGCTTTCTCATGTGTAAAATGTGACTGGTAATATCTCCCCCGATAAGCTTGTTGGGAAGAATGGAAATCATGAGTGGACAGCGCCCGATGCACTGAGGGGCTTATGCATAGGAGCTGCACGCTAGATTACCATCATATGTCTTATCTTACATACTTGATTAGAAGCCGTACAAGATGGGGTGTGATGTCTTATTCATCTTCTTATCTCATACCTTGCCCTAATAAATGTTGGTAATTGAATGGACTCCTATGGCATTCTTATCTATACCCTTTTTAAAGCACTCCGCCATGGTCTAATAATAACAACTACAGTTGTACCCTGCCTAAGAGTTCACTAAGTACTTTCACGTGCCTTAACTCACTTCATCCTTACAAGAGCCTTGTGAGGTCAGAACTATTATTATCCCATTATTTAGAGAAGAGTGAGGCTCAAAGAGGTTAAGCAGACTCAAGATTTTTACAGAATGAAGTGGGATAGGAACAAATCACAGATTCATCCAGAGTAAGTGCCAGAACTTGAACCCTGGTCTGACCCAAGAGCCTGTGTTCTGATCCACTTTTTGAGCCCTCCCAAATCACCATGCATGGTTCTTTGTGATTAGGCAGGGGAGGGGGGTGAGGGGAGGGAGGGTCATGCTGGGCCTTACATAGCCGTAGGTGAGGTTCCCTTTGGGCACACCAGCAACGAAGTCTGGAAAGGGAAGAGAAGGTTGCAGGCTAAGGGCAGGGGAAGGGGAGTCAGACAAAAATGTCTCAGTCCTTGGGGCTCCAGATCTGGGGTCTCCATCTGCCCCCTCCCTTGGCCCCAGACTGGGAACGCACTCACCTTCTCTATCATCACCACTGAATTCACCCACAGCCACAGAATATCCTGGTAAACAGGTGGATGGATATTAGGTTTCTTGCTTTGGGGACCCCTCTGTCCTGGCCCATCCTCAATCCCTTCCCCACCCCTACTGAGCCTTCCTAGTCAGCCCACACATGACACATGGGGTGGGGGGCTGGGGATGCCTGAGTGGGAGAAGGGAGGCGAGGGGTGAGTGAGGACAGGGGCCCCCCGAGGTTCTTCCCCTGCAGCTCCCACCCCATTTGCTCACTCACCCAGGTAGCTGTCATCGTAGATGGAACTGGCCTGGCGAGTCTGCAGCTGCCCCCGAACTGGGTTGATCAGGTACCCAGGATAATAGGATTCTGCAATCTGCTCCTGGGTGGCGGACAGGATCTGGCCTGGAGAAGGGGATAAGGAGGGGATGGCCGAAGGAGGAGGTGGCAGGGAGTGGGGCACTTGGGGCTGACTGGGGAGACATTCAGGAGGGGAAGCTTTTGGAGGGTGGTGGGAGAGGATGGGTAAGTCTCAAGAGGACAGGAAGAGGAGTATTGGGACAGGGGCAGAGGAAGGGAAGATTGTGATCTTGGGCTGGGAGAGGGATGAGAGGCCGGGTGCGGGAGACAGACACAGGGACAGCAGAGGAAGGACTCACCTTGCCAGAAATAGCTCCCTGGTCCACCCAGGACCACACGCCCAGTCTGTGCAGGGGAAGAAGGTGAGTCTGCATCTGG